AGGTGCTGGCTTTGCACGTGGCATTTTTTCACTCCATGTTTTCCTCTTGGTTAACTCTGCAGTTTAATATACGACTGTTTATGCTGTAAAATGTAAACCATAAAACATGCAGGATGTGCCATGTGGCTGTAAAACAAACAGGATGTGCCGTGTTGGTTTTGCAACTTTAAACGTTTGCTTTTCCTGACTTTGTCATTTTTTAACTGAGATTTTAGCACTACATTTTAACAGGGAAGGTTTTAACCCCCTCCTCCTTTCCAATGAACAGCCTGCTTGTCTTTTCCCTAGTGAGGCAGTGGTTGGGTTTTGGGGTGATATCCACCATGCTGTGGCTCCAGCTGAGCCCTGCTCAGTGCCTTGGGCCATGAACCACAGCCCAGCACCTTCCCTCTCACATTCATGGGAAAATGCCTGAAATAATCTATTTTAAAGTGTTTGCTGCTCTATTCAGGTACTGACAACCTGCCTGGCTCAATGGGACTGAACCCCTCCTCAGCCAGCTCCTCATTAGGCTTATTAATTAATCCTCTGCTTTGGAGATGTGGTGCTTCCCTTTTTGTGGTGCCCAGGGAGGAGAGCTGGGCTCTGCAGCAGGGGAGGGGCAAGGCTCCACCAGCCCAGGCTGAGAACAGTTCTGCTCTGCAGGGCCTGTCCCACGAAGGCATTACGTTAGGAATAATAACAGCTTCTCATTTCTAGGAATTTGTTCCCAGTGACTGCAAACACTTTCTTAAAGCTCCCTAAAAAAACAAGTCAGAAAAGCCACAGGGTTTGTTTGCCTTCCCGTGCGCCAGCACAGCCTGCCTGCCTTTCCTTTTGTCTTTGATTTCCTCCAAACCTCAAAACCACGTGGAGTGAGGAGTTCTGCAGCCTTGGCTGGGGCATTTTTGGGTGTGTGGGCAGCTGCCCAGGCAGAGCTGGGCTGGGTCACCCACCCTGGCACCCTGGGCCACTGCAGTGTCCCCATCCCTGCGTGGGGTGCAGCTCCTCTGAGCCAGGATCTCACCTGAAAGACAGGCAGCAGAGATTTCACACGATTTATCAATAAACGAACCCATTTATCCATCCGTGCCCTGACTGTGCACTGAAATAGCTGCTCAATATCAGGGATGAGCAGCCCCTGGAGATTATAACTGGAGGCACATCTGAGGCTTAAAGTAAATAAGATAAACATCTTAATTAATAAACCGTGGAGTGAAGCCTTTGCTGCAATCCATGGAATTAGGCTGGAGATTATTTGCCATGCTGGGGATGTGGGAAAGCCTCACTCTGTGCCAGCAGCCCTTCCCTGCAGCCTCACAATCCCCACTCCTGCTTGCCAGGCCCGTTATCTGTTGTGGTCAATTATTGCAGTCAGAGGCATGGGAGGCATTTGTCAATGCAGGCACCTAAAACTGAGCAGGTTTTATATCAGAACAAACTCAGAGCTCTGTAATCTGCCTCAAAGCCCTGTGGCTGAGCAGGTTTTGTGGCAGGTAAGGCTGTGCCCAGCTCCCACAGCACAGCCTGAGAACGTGGGCTGTATATTCTGCTCCGGGGGGATTTTTCATCCATGAAAGGCTTCTTTCACACCAGGCTTAACAACCGAGGAACCTTCATGTTGGAAATGGATTAAGAAATCAGCAGCCACTGTAATGTTTAGCTACACTGAGGTCTATCTGATCCCAAAGAAAGCACTGTAAGCCACCTATGCTTAGAGTGAAATCTGAATTTATGTATTTTCAAAGCATTACATGCAGAGATAATCAGCCTGATAGAGCCTCTGATTTACGTGGGGCTGGTGAGTGATCCTGAGCACGAGGGATTCTGGCAGGGCTGGTGCTTTGCTCTCGGGGGCCATGGGAGTAACAGGGCATTTGCAGAGGTGAGAATAACCTTGGAAGTGCCAGCAAGGGTGGCACATCCCTTCCCCATTCCCAGTGTCTGCTGCCTGGGAAATACCTGGCAGTGTTCTCCCGGTGAAAAATGGGAATGACTCTATCACTGGTGCTGCCTTTTATTTGCCATAATCACTTTATTTGCTTTTAAAATATAGCTTTTATTTTAGTT